AATTGATATCCAATATAAAGTTACTCAACATTTACGTAACCTAGATTGAGGGGGATTGTAGAAATATTAGGAATAAGTTATATTTACTGTTACTGCTTTATGTTTTCTATTTTTGTTAGACAACCAGGCACCATAACAGAATACTAGTTGTCATTTGTTAGGCAAAGTTGTTAATTTGTTTTTTTCCTTCTGTTTTGCCTGTAAAATGAGGCACTAATCATTGATGTAATAAGATGAAAAAATGAGTTTTTTCTACTCTCAAAATCTTCAGAATGCTTCATCAAATTCAATATTGAGGTGAGGAAGAAGACAAGATCCTCATGGCAAGGAGTGTTTTTTGCAAGTCTATGAACAATTTGGTTTGAAAGAAATCATCAAATACTTGATAATCAGTTGTTTTTTTTTTAAATAAAAATAATAATATTAATTCACAAGTACTAAGGGGGTGCCATAAAAAATTTTCTCATCTTCCGTTAAAAACTAATTAATCATGTCGTATTATCTGCATCTAACTAAAAGAGAAAGTGCATATAATAAGTTCTCGTTGAAAATGGTTTGGAAGGTGAGGCAGAGCGGCTTTCTTAACAAAGATGTGAAATCACATCCTTATTGGTGTTTGTTTGCACACCGCCTTTGGTCATTGGTATATAGCTTATCAGGGTTGAGTTGGATCACTACAGACACTTTGAGATAGGAGATTTGAGTGTGGAAGGGGATCCAAAGTGATAAACACTCTATCAAGCTTATCCCTTTAGCTATCTTTCGGATTATTTGGAAAAAAAAAGGAACAAGAGGACCTTTGAGGGTGAAAAATTTAAGTTTGATAGTTTTAAAGATTCATAGTTGTAGACCCTAAGTTTCTTTATAGGGGTCAACCTTTATATTCTGATGAAAATTTGGGGATCTTATATTCATTTTACTACAGTTGTAAATATGGTTGCACCCCATTTGTGCTCTTCGAATATATTGAGTTCTTCTAGAAAAAAAGAGAATCCAAAAGCTTGATGTCTGAAAGTATGTAGCAGCCGAGAGCATTCATGAGTAAAAGGATATAAAATTAAGAAAGGTAGAGAAATTAGAATAACTAGAATATTCATCAATGGATGAACAAGCAGCTGACTTTTTTTCTTTGAAGGCTTAAAAAACTGAGTAGGATTAAAAGCGGGAGGGAAAGGAAAATTAAAAAAAAGGGCAGAAAAAATTGTTAGAAAAAAAAATAAGAAATAAGAAAATGATTCCCAGAATCACGAAAGGATTTGAAGCCAGAATTCTAAGATATTTGTGCAAGCATGAAGGAAGAAAAACATCACTTTTATTTTTATTTTTTTTTCAAAAAAAGAGACACTATAAAATTCATAAGAAAACAACTGAACATTTACAAACAGATCAAAAGACAATTTGAAGTCCCTTTGAGACGATTTAACATTATAAGAAATTTATTGATAAATCAAGGTCAGCAACGAGTCATTTTGTGGGTGCGGATAAAGCAGGAGGAGGAAAAAGGAAAAGGTAAGCTTTGACTTGGAGGGACGCATGCACTATATGCTGCTTAATAACTGTATGATCCTTGTAGTTACTTGTTTTGGCACTCTTATCCCACTTTATTTTTTCCTTAGTGGCTAGAGGCAGTCCTGTCCTTTTCTTGCCACAAAAAAGTAAATTAGATTTCCCATTATCAGAAAGAGCAATAAGATTTAAGAAGCACCTGAGGGCCCAATTCCATCTAGATATCTACAGTGCGGGTTCCAAGCATAAACGTCAACCAAATTGCCAAATCTGTTCAAATATAAGAAAATTAAAAATATTAATAATGGAAACCAAGTAGCTGTATAGGAACCGCTTAACAAACAAGTCATTCAAAGATACACATGTCACAAAAATATGATTGATGATAGTACAACAAAATATTAAACTACTATCAACGTCAACAAAGTCAAGTTGTACTGCATCAGATGAAATTGTACTACACCTATCTCCTCCATTTCCTTCTCTGTTGTCTATCGGATTACTACCATAGAGACGTCCTGGAATAGCATTTCCAATTGAGAAGTGCATGATGTCAACTTCATAGCCTTTGCAAGTCTTGCTGGTGCAAGATCCAGTTCCTTCTTTACACCCACCCATCTTATAACATGAAAAAGATTTTCTCAGAATTAATTCTTAGATTTAGAGATGAGTAACATGGTAAATATCATGATAGAAATAAGATAATCATGAAACTATAAAGGTAACTTACGTTGTGATAAGTTGCAGATTGACCGATCTGAAACATTAGAGCAACAGAGGGGCATTTCTTATTGTTGCTGCAGTAGAAAACAAATCAAGTTCAGCAAGAGCCTTCTATCTTGAGAGGAAATCAACAATGGAAAAATTCTTTTAGTGTCAGCAAAAATATGTAAAATCAAATAAAATTCTTCCATCCAACAATGAGAGCAGTGGAAGGAAATTTAATCACAATCACAACAAGACGAAATCGAAGCCAATGGAAAACTTAAAGAGTTATTTGTTCCTCGAGTCTTGAACAATAACCAGATAAATATGCACAAATTCAGA